GGCTCTGGGCCTATTGTGACCCCACGGCGGGCGGTCCAGGGGCTGCGCCTTTCATGCTGTAATTGAAACATATTAATTAGATAATTTGTTGTTAGTTTAAACGAAACAAATGCATCCCCTTTGAGGCTGCACAGCCGGTGGGTTGGATTGTTTTTTGTTTTGTTTTTGTTTGGGTGTCTTTGTGCATATGTGGCTTTAGGAGAAAAAAAATTAACTGCCATTTATATTAAGAAATGGAGAACAGATCCTGATCCTTGCCACTTCTTAAATGGATATCTTTTTACAGAGGGAGCTTCCATTTGCAAAAGTATAAACCGTCCCTGAACACCGCTGCCCCCCACCCCCCCCCACCCAAACCTTGCATTAACTAACGTAAAACCTTCTGTTAGAAGTACTCCGTTGGATTCTTTCCCCCTCCCACCTACCAGCTTCATCCCACTTGAGCACCTGGCCAGATTTATGCTTCCAAGACACTCAGTGTTTTTATCTATTTTAAAGGAGTTAAACTTGCTGCTGTAATAGTTAAGCCGCTCCGAGGATCATTTACTAGCACTGCTCTTGCTAGTCTTCAGGCTTCTTAAGACACCCCCCCCCCAACCCAGGCAATAGGAACAGTGGGAACTTCAGCAGCTTCTCTCGCAAGGAAGTGTACAAAACTCATCCATTGTGTAAGCATTTCCCCAAATCACAGAGAAAGCCACTTAAAAACATAGTTGAGCACAGAAGCATGTTAAAAACCAAAAGTGGGCTTCCCTGGTGGCGCAGTGGTTGAGAGTCCGCCTGCCGATGCAGGGGACACGGGAAGTGAGGGGATGGAAAAAGATATTCCATGCAAACGGATATCAAAAGAAAGCTGGAGTAGAAATTCTCGTATCACACAAAATAAACTTAGTAAAGACTATTACAAGAGACAAAGAAGGACACTACATAATGATCAAGGGATCAATCCAAGAAGAAGATATAACAATTGTAAATATTTATGCACCCAACATAGGAGCACCTCAGTACATAAGCCAAATGCTAACAGCCATAAAAGGGGAAATCGACAGTAACACAATCATAGTAAGGGACTTTAACACCCCACTTTCACCAATGGACAGATCATCCAAAGTGAATAAAAATAAGGAAACACAATATTTAAATGACACATTAAACAAGATGGACTTAAATGATATTTATAGGACATTACATCCACAAACAACAGAATACACTTTCTTTTCAAGTGCTCACGGAACAGTCTCCAGGATAGATCATATCTTGGGATGCAAATCAAGCCTTGGTAAATTTAAGAAATTTGAAATCACATCAAGTAACTTTTCCAACCACAGCGCTATGAGAGTTGATATCAATTTTAGGAAAAAAAACCTGTAAAATATAGAAACATATGGGAGCTAAAGAATATGCTACTAAACAACCAAGAGATCACTGAAGAACTCAAGGAGGAAATCAAAAAATACTTAGAAACAAATGACAATGAAAACACAACGACCCAAAACCTATAGAGTGCAGTAAAAGCAGTTCTAAGGAGGAAACTTATAGCAATACAATCCTCCTTCAAGAAACAAGAAACATCTCAAATAAACAATCTAACCTTATGCCTAAAGAAATCAGATAAGAAGAAAAAAAAAAAAAAAAAACCAAAAGTAACAGAATAGCAGATTTGGAAATAGGTTTCCAAATCAAAAACCTAACTTAAAATAAATCAATACTGCCCAGATTTACAAAACAGAAAATAATATAACTAAACTCCCTTCTCAGGATGAGATCCCGAACAGACGGTGTTGTCTCTTCCAGTTTTATTTTAAAGCTGTGAGTATTGACTTTGGACTTGAGCCAGGTGAAAAGATTTAACATGACAAAGAGAGCCATTGAAGGTATCCTAGTTATAAACTTCCTTATTTGTGGGGTACTTCAGCTAAACTGGGTGCAAGTCTCAAAGCTAGGGGTGGAGTGGGGTGGAGGCATGTGTGTTTGGGCTGCCTTTGGATTTCTGATCAAGGTCAAAATATCATCAGTGGATTTTTTACTTCACTCATTCAACTTCATCTGAGAAAAGATGCCTGCAGTGGTGAAAGGAGGACTCACAATGCCTAAGTTATTTCATTCTTTGCCATACACCATGACGAACTTACCAGCTGAAAAGCACATTTTCAAATACTGAGTTGAAATCACTCCTTTACTAAAAATCGGAAATAGGACTTGCGTCTTATTTACCTGCATTTATTAAATGTGTGTATGTACACATCACTTGCCTCTGAATTCCACTGCTACTAGTAGGAAGAGTATTTTACCTGACTTTCTAAGCTGAAAATTTATAAAATGTTTGAGACCCGTGTTAGCCCTTTATGCTTCCTTCATTCCCGGTTCAAATTCAGTGTTAGTGAATTCCAGGAGATTAGAATATTCCAGAGATGGCTTTAATTTTATTTTGCAGGAAGTAATGAAGATGTATTTCACTTTTTAAAAATGTAGATGATTTCTGGTTGAGAACAAAGTTTTAAGAGTTTCCTGGCCCAGGGTGGGCGAGTTTTCCAGGCTTTCTTTAGCTGATCGTGTTGATATAATTGTGAATTGGGCTTGATGAATGAGTTTAGTTGTCCCCTGTCTGACGAGCTTTAGTGGCTTCATGCATTTTAATCAGTCCAATGATTCATTTATTTTCCACCTTTTTTATTTTTTTGGCTGTGTGTGGGGGATCCTTCCTTTAAAAAAAAAAAAAATGGTCACAACAGGATTACTTACCCTTTGCATTAATCCTAAAAATTTTTTTCAGATAACCCTCTGAACATATAAAGGTCACAGGTGCTAAGGGTTCTCCTTGTGGAGTATAGTGATGATGATTTCTGTGTGGGTTTCTCTGTGTTGCACAAGGTCTCTTGTTTAATCATTTTACACAGTAAAGTGTTAATCACCATTTAAGTTTTTCTTTGTCTTGTAACTTCATTAGTTGAATATACACCTCACTCTGGAAATACTGTGACCCTTTCAATAAAGTTTTAATTGGCCTTGAGCCATACATTCTTGGCAAACTTTAATTCTCTGCAAAAATCTGTAGAAAAGCAAATACTCAGAGTCAGGCATTTAAAGTAACTTCCTTCGCTTCTTTAAAATAAACACACTAAACATTATTTTCCCAGATGAAGGAGTAAAGAGAAATCTGTTCAGTTAAAAGTGAACAAGTTTCTCTACAGGCTAGGTGAACTTTTAAGTAGCTTCTGAAAAAGAAAATTTCAACGATTGCAATAATTTAAAGGAGGAAGGAAATCAGGGTCCACTGCAAATAAGATGCATCAGAATAGAAGTATTGGGTAAGCAAGTTTGCCTTTACGCTTTATATCTCCATATCGCCTCTACCTGGTTTCTGTAGAAGCCTTACATTTATACAAGTGCTGTATATTTTGTAAAATGTATACTTAAAGATAGTCAAAATACATATAAAGTTACTCGTTTTTCATTAACAGTTTTTCTTTTAGCACCACACCTGTGCACCTGCTCTGTACTAGAAATAGTTTGTTTCATCTTTCTCTCTGGGCCAATATCTTCGAGAGTCCATCCGCGTAATTTCTTCCCAGTCTGCAAGTGCACAAGAGGAGGTCTGTTTTAAAAATAAGTTACGAAAAAGACAAACTACTCAGACAATATATTGCAGAAAGCATGCTTAGAGAAGCAGTACATTTATCTTTGGTAAAGTTACTGTTTGTAGCAACTCTTCAAAAACACACGAAACTAAAATTTGCATTTACATATTTTAATGAGAAAATATTATTTGGACTAGGTTCATAATTTAACGTAGACACCTTTTAAAAATTCTTTGTCTTAAAACAGGCATGCTGGGAACAAGAACATCAATATTCAAAATGCCATGCTAATTCTGTACAGGGAGGGAGAAAAATGAAAGGTAAAAATTGTACAGCTCTGATGACACTACAACTTTTTTTTAACTTAAGCAGGTCACACCAGAACAACAGTTCATTTTCCAGCAAATTACCTAAGACTCTAAGGGAATATAGCAAACAAAAGTGCATTTTACACAGTGTATAATCATTCCTATTCACAAGCATTTACATCTCTTTGCAGCCCTTTAGCTTCTCGGAAAAGTTCTTGTAGCAAACAGAAAGGCTTGTCCATGGGAGACCTGTCCGGTGACACCTCCTTCATGTTACTAGTCAGCTTATCTAAGTTCTTCTAGGGTTGCCCTTGATGCTTTCTTAGTTTGGACTTATTTCATTTTCTTTCTTTCTTTTTTTCCTTCCAGCAGTAAAATAAATAGCTAAAAAGGTCTCTAAGTAATCGGAAAGTTAACATCCCAATTAACTTTCCCACCCCCCCCCCTTTCCCTCCCCTAAACCTGGCCAGAAATGCAGAGTAAACATTCACATTACAACAGGTACTTGTAAAGTGGGCTTTTGCCCGCTCGCCCGCCAAGCACTACAGATTCAGGTTCACTGTTTACGTTTTACCGGGCGCTTTGTAAACATACAAGGTTGACTTTTAGTTTTATTTTGCTTGTGTAGAGGACAAACGTCCCCTTCCCAGGTTGGTAGCCTCTCCCCTACACTCCCAGCGCCTGGAGCCTCTGTCAGGAAACAAAACCCCAAACAAGAAAACTCCGCAGAAGCCGGGGAGGCAGGGCCGCTACTCCGGGAGGCTGTGGTCCGCCCAGCCCCTGCCGGATGGGCGGAGGCGAGTAGGGTAGGAAGCCAGTGGTCCCTTTTCGCGGCAGATTTCCAAGACGTAAACAGAGAGCTGGCTCTCCGCTGTGCGTCTGCAGCCCTCAGGGAAGATCTGTTCCGGGAAACCTCCGAGGCGGTTTCTCTGGGCTTGGAACTAACGGCGCCGTGTCCGGAGCCTCGCGGATCGGGGCCGAGCTTAGACGCGCCCCTCTCCGAGACTGTGGGAGGCAGGGTTTCCCCTGCCTCTTCAGTGGGAGGGGGATTTCGGGGGCCCCGGGAATGGGACGACTTGTCTCAGGTGCCCCCTGCCTAACCCCTCTTGGGGGCGAGGACAACTCCCACGCGCCTCCAGGCCCATCTGCAAGTTTTTTGTTGCGTCTCCTGGGTCCAAAACAGAGTTCTCATGGGGGAGAGAGGGTTGGCCGAAGGTGAACTGGACAAGTTAGGGTGGCGGCCCCAGATGGGGAGGGCAGGACTGGGAGCCGGGGAAGGCGAGTGAGCTGCGAGGGGGCAGGGAACAAGACGGGGCGCCGGCCTCTGCGGGTCAGTGCACCGCCACTGAGTGCAGGGCGGAGGCCGGGCTGGTGAGCGTTTCGCTGGGAGTGGCGGGGCTGCTTTGGCTGGTGGCTGTTTGAGAGGACGTGGGGCTGAGCGAGGGCGGTGAGTTCGAGAGCAGGGTGGGGATGGGCGCAGGCAGTGCGGGCAGCGCGGGCACTGCAGCCGGCGTGGGCTTAATGGGCACGGGGATGGCGGGCAGCGTCTGGCCCGCTGCGTGGCACAGAGGCTTCAACGGCACGCCGTAGGCGCTGTAATCGCCACTAGCCATGGAGATGGGGGTGGCCGAATCGATCATGCCTGCCGAACCGTACACGTGTGGCCAGCCAGTACCCAGCGAGCTGCCCATGGTAGTCAACTGGTTGGGGAGCGGGTAGGCGGCGGGCACGGGCTGCATGGCGGAGAAGGCCAGTCCCCCAGGCATCTTGTACTCGCGCGCGATGATATTCTCGATGGCGAAGGGATGCTTGAAGCCCGAGGGCTGCGCCACGCCGCCCAGGTTGTAGGCTGCGGCGGGCATCTGCGGCAGGTGCGTGCCCGAGGCCGCCAGCGCGCTGAGGCGCAGCTTGGCCTGCTGCTGCAGGTACTGCGCCGCGTCAGCGGGCTTGCTGGGCGCCAGGTGGTCCGACTTGAGCACCTTGAAGCGCTTGCGGCGCCTCAGGAAGCTGCCGTTCTCGAACATGTCCCCGCAGCTGGGGTGCAGCGCCCAGAAGCTGCCCTTGCCGGGCTGGTCTGGCCGCCGCGGTATCTTGATGAAGCAGTCGTTGAAGGAAAGGTTGTGGCGCAGGCTGTTCTGCCAACGCTGCGTGTTCTCCCGGTAGTAGGGGAAGCGGTCCATGATGAACTTGTAGATCTCGCTCAAGGGCAGCATCTTTTCGGGCGAGCTCTGGATGGCCATGGCGGTCAGCGAGATATACGAGTAGGGCGGCTTCTGGTCGCTGTACGTGTTGCGGCCGGGCCGAGGCATCTTCTTCTTTGCCCCTTTCTAGCTCTGGGTCCGCGCGGGCCTGCTCGGATCTGGGAAGGGGGGAAGATAATGGGGGGAAGGACGTGGATGCACAGACACCGCGAGGTCAGCCAGGCCGAGAACAGACTTCGGGGGTGGCGAGTAGGGGGCTTCGGCGCCGGATCAGCCAGCGCCTGAGCTCTTTAGCCAGCAACTTTGCGTGTCGAGTTGGGGGTGGTCAGGGGGCGCGGGGCCCGCTGCGTGGCACAGAGGCTTCAACGGCACGCCGTAGGCGCTGTAATCGCCACTAGCCATGGAGATGGGGGTGGCCGAATCGATCATGCCTGCCGAACCGTACACGTGTGGCCAGCCAGTACCCAGCGAGCTGCCCATGGTAGTCAACTGGTTGGGGAGCGGGTAGGCGGCGGGCACGGGCTGCATGGCGGAGAAGGCCAGTCCCCCAGGCATCTTGTACTCGCGCGCGATGATATTCTCGATGGCGAAGGGATGCTTGAAGCCCGAGGGCTGCGCCACGCCGCCCAGGTTGTAGGCTGCGGCGGGCATCTGCGGCAGGTGCGTGCCCGAGGCCGCCAGCGCGCTGAGGCGCAGCTTGGCCTGCTGCTGCAGGTACTGCGCCGCGTCAGCGGGCTTGCTGGGCGCCAGGTGGTCCGACTTGAGCACCTTGAAGCGCTTGCGGCGCCTCAGGAAGCTGCCGTTCTCGAACATGTCCCCGCAGCTGGGGTGCAGCGCCCAGAAGCTGCCCTTGCCGGGCTGGTCTGGCCGCCGCGGTATCTTGATGAAGCAGTCGTTGAAGGAAAGGTTGTGGCGCAGGCTGTTCTGCCAACGCTGCGTGTTCTCCCGGTAGTAGGGGAAGCGGTCCATGATGAACTTGTAGATCTCGCTCAAGGGCAGCATCTTTTCGGGCGAGCTCTGGATGGCCATGGCGGTCAGCGAGATATACGAGTAGGGCGGCTTCTGGTCGCTGTACGTGTTGCGGCCGGGCCGAGGCATCTTCTTCTTTGCCCCTTTCTAGCTCTGGGTCCGCGCGGGCCTGCTCGGATCTGGGAAGGGGGGAAGATAATGGGGGGAAGGACGTGGATGCACAGACACCGCGAGGTCAGCCAGGCCGAGAACAGACTTCGGGGGTGGCGAGTAGGGGGCTTCGGCGCCGGATCAGCCAGCGCCTGAGCTCTTTAGCCAGCAACTTTGCGTGTCGAGTTGGGGGTGGTCAGGGGGCGCGGGAGGGGAAGCCCGCGAGCGGCGCGATGGTAGCCTGGAAGTAAGCCCGGACCGGGAGCGGGAGCTGGGGGTAGGGATGCAACGGAGAGCGGCTCACCTTAAAGTTGCCCCAAGTTGCGCGTCCGCATCCGGGATGGCGCTGCTGCTCGCCGAGTCCCTCCCGGCGCGCAGCCGGGGCGCAGTGTCCGGCCTCGGCTGGGCTGCACTCGTTCCTGAGCTCCTCAGCTCAGACCCGCAGCGCCCCGCGCCGCCCGGTCCGTGGCGCTTCTGGCCGTGAGCTCCGCGGGCGGCCGAGCTCGGCGGCGGAGTCCCGGCGCGGACAGTGGCAGCGGCGGCCTCGGGGTTCCGGAGGGCGCTGCTGTGGGCTTCGCGGCTCCACTGAGCTAGGTGGCTGCCTCCATGTCCTCCCTCGAACCATCTGATAGTTTTAAGCGGTGACAGGAGCAGAAAAGACCCCTGTAGCGGCGCTTCATTAATGTGCCACTTCTTAGCTATCATATGACAATCGCCTTGGGGGAGGAGGAAGAGGAGGGGGAGCGGGGGATGCAGAGGGAGGGGACTGAGCGAGAGGGGAGAGCCTGGCCAGCTCTGATTTCTTTCACACCTATTTACATGGACACCTTGGCCAATAGGAATCACTTCCAGCTCCAGACTGGGCGAGGGGGAAGAGCCTCGGCCACCGGCGGGAGCAGGACGCGCGGGCCAGGGTGCGCGGTGTGAAGGTATGAGGAGGCGCCGGCCGCGGAGCAGGGATTCAGGCGACCACTCACATTCACAGACCGAGCCGCTGCGCAGATGATGTTTGACATGGAAATTGCTTGGCCGGGGTATTTTGTTTCCTCTGCAGTGTATCGGGTTTGTATTGTTAGCTAACTTCAGGCACGGCTTTCCCCTGAAGCTGACCCTTTTCCTGCTCTTGGCATTACCCGGGGCTGGTTGCATGGGTTATTGTAATGAAAATACACCCTTCCTCCACTGCTCCAAGAGGCAGGTCAAAGTTTGATTTGACCTTCCTAGGCTGCTGCCTTAGCCCGGCACAGTGGGTGTGTAGCTTTAAGTGATGGGGTTTAAAAATACAGAAATATAATCGGACAGACCCTTGTAAGAGCCCATTTTGTATCTAAGTGTATTGGCCAAATTAAAAAAAAATACAGTAGTGTATCTGGGCAAATAAGCAAGATCTTCACTTTAAAAGTCCTCCAGGAATTTGGTAACCAAGACACAGGATGGAGGCTCTGGGCTGTTGGGGAAGACGGCATGTGGACCTGGGCAGGGCCTGAGTTTGGTTGACACATTTTATCAAGCTCGAGGTCTCTCGCTCCCCAGGTGGTTTGAAACTTAGGAGTTAGGCGTGGCCTGGAAGTTTGCATTTTACAGCCGGAACTTTCTCTCCCTTCCCCCCCCCCTTTTTTTTTTTGCATAGAAAGAAGTTACTTAGAGTTTAGAGGGCCCAGCAAAAGCTGCCTGCGGCCCCACTAAAACAGAAGTACCTTCTAGATTTGCAAAGAACCAGCGGTTTTACTTTTTTGGAGAGAAGAGAGGATGGGGATGTGCCTGGGGTCACCTTGCCTAGTGTGGGCGGCTTGTTCCCCTGTTTGGATTAGTCTCTGGAGATTCAGTGAATAATAATAATTATAATAATTATTATTATCGTTGTCATCATCATCTAATTGCTATGAAATAGTGAATCAAGTCCGCCTGCTTGCACGCAGTCTACAAGTATAGACGCTAGGAGTTCCCACTGGTTTCTGCACACTCTCCGACCTTTATGGTTTTTAGAAGAAATTCCTTCTACCGCATTGTTAAAAACTCAATAGCAACGGCTCACACTAAATCACCTTCAGTCTCGAAACGTGAGAACTTTTTTTTTTTTTTCGGGAGGAGGCGGTGGTGGTGGTGGTGGGAGATTTCTGGGTGTGAAGTTTTGATACTTCTAGTGATATGAGAGCATTATTAGTGGAGCTGTTTGGGGTTAGCATAAAAAAGATCTTTAAACGCGTGTGTGCGTACGCACGCGCGCGCATGTGCGCGCGCACCCCCCCCCCCATTAAGCACAGTTTCTGAGGTGGTCAATAACTCACCAAAACGTAACTTAAACACGATGAATTTAGGAGATTAAACAATTTCATTAATATTGAAATGACCCTCGCGTCTGGGTTGCCTCGCTTGAGATGCAAGCGCACGTTTTTCAATATTAACAGAAGTGCTTGAAGAAAAGAATAATGTCACCTTCTTAACTCGGAAAAAATGACCAGGAGGAGGAGGTGGGTGTGAAGTGGGAGGGGGGGCGGGGAGGGGGGAGGGACGCTGACCTGTCTCTGGGGGCGCGGCTGGAGAAGGGCAGGTAAACTCCCTGCAGATAAACCAGTTGGACCCGGGAGGAACTTCTGCCGAGCTTGGGGGGAGGCAGCGGTACTCGACGGAGCTGCGCCTGCTTCAGCTTCTAAGGAGGTGCGGCGTTTGGGGGTTATACGGCGTGGCCAGGTTAGCCTAGAGGGTCCTGAGATGGGAGGAGCTGGGGAAGCTCGGGAGCTTGAGGGGCCCCAGATGACTAGTAGTGAGGGCTTGTGTTTCCCAGAGCGAAAGGCGTTGGTCCACAGCTTTCCTGCTCTAGAAGGCAGCTGCCCTGTGAGGAAAAAAACAGAGGGTGCTCCTGTGAGCGAGGCAGGAGCCCACCTGGGAAGGGGAGGTACGAGCATCGAAGCCCGCAAGGATTTTTAGGATCCTTTAAGAAAATATGTACATACATATAGAAGCAGTTTTGAGAAGGGTTGGATTCGGGATATGCAACGATAGGAGTGAAAGATCTCTGTTCCCCCTGCTATAGCCAGGAAGATTCTTTTCGACCCCGTGTGTGCGCGCCCGCGCGCTCCCGCGTGTTGGGGGTGAGAGATGGGGAGAGAGAAATGTTTTCATGTTTTAACAATTGGCATTTTGTTGCCTTGCAAAGGGCCTTTGTATGGCTGTCGAAATCATTGCTCCGAGTAAACAGAAGATTAAATTCTAAGAGTCGAAACGTTTGGGTGGAAAAAAAAATTCCAAGTTGGGATAAATCTCTGTCCGTCTCCCTGGGAAAGTTGTCACCACCAAGTTTGGGACATGGGAGGATACAAGTAGGAATCTTCAAAGTTTGGCTCGGGTGAAGATGGGAGGTGAGGCACTTTGCCTGTGCCCGGGGCTCATTAAGAAACTTGAACCCTAATAGCACAACTTTGCCTTGGGTGGGGCGAGGAGTTAGTTGTGAGATGCACATTTTAAAAATGTACTTTGCTGTAAAATTGTGTCTTACTTCCTACTGAAGATCTACAAAGCCCAAGGGAAGGGAGGGATTTGCATGCTATTTACAGAGTTTTAAGGCTAGTATTATGAAGAAGAGGAAGGAAGGAGCACTTTCCAGAAATCTTGAAAAGTGCATCCGTCTATTGTACAGAACCCAAAGCAAATAGAAGCTTTGGGGAGGGGGCACATCCGACCCGGAGGCTTAGGGAGTTGTTGGGAAAACTGTATAAAATACACATAAGTCAATTATACCCATGTGCAAACCAACTGGAAATCTCTTTCGTGCAATAGCCATTCATCGCCTCTGCGGAGCCCACCACCGACCACCTTTCTGCTTGGAGAGTTCGCAATAGCCTCTTTTCCCACAAGCTGGACCACCCACGGCTACAGATTTCGTAATAATTTATGCTAATTTCCCTCCATAAATCCACAATTCGCTTCAGTGGCACCCGGGCTGCTGATGGAGTAAAAAGGAGACAGAGGGGTGACAAGTACAATATCGATTTTGATTCCTTCTGTTGTCAAGCAGGTGTGTGTGTGCGTGAACTGTGGGGCTGGGGCTTGGGGGCGGGGGCTCTAGGAGAGGAAAGCCGCCCGGAGCCCAAGCCGGCCCCTCCATCCACACTCCACAGAGTAACGCGCCCTGGTTTGTTAATATGTACCAAACACCGACGGGAGGTGGAGGGAGGTACCCGGCAGCTTCCGAAGGTTTCCTAGGCGCCAAAAACAATACCCGCCTTCCAGACGTGGAAAGTGAACTCCGCGCTGCGCAGAGCGCTTCGGCTAAGCCTTCCTCGGCCCCCTTCTCCCCCTCCTTTCACTCTGGGGGTCGTCCCCTCCCTCTCCATCCCCCTCTCTCCGTCACCTCCTTTCCTCTTTCCTAAAGCACTCTTGTCCCTCAGTTCTCTTCGCTTCACTCTTTCTCCCTCTCTCCTCCACTTTTGCCAGCATCTCTGCGAAACTGGCGGTAAAAGTGCTGGGAGTGGGGCGGGGGGAGTTGAAGGTCCGCGGGCTGGTGCGGCGCTGACGTTAGGTTTGGGGCCTCCTCTGGCCCGCCCCACCCTTCCAGGCCGCCTGCCTCAGGTGCCCAAGTCCTCCGCTCTCTCGGGGAACCCGCGCTAACGCACCGCGCCGCTTTGTCCCATTAGTCTTCACCAAATCTGCACTCTGGTGGCGTGAAACGACTTAGCTTTCCTTTCAAAAGGATTTTGTTCCTGGGGTATTCAGCACTAAAACAAACTCTCTCAGCCTGTCAGCGGTCAGTTTTTGTAAAAAAAAAAAAAAAGAAAAAAAAGAAAGAAAGAAAGAAGGAAAAAGAAAAAAAAAATCATCCTCCTGAGTGTCCTGGAGATTGATTGTCCTCGGAAATCTGTGCGCCTGCACCGCCAGCACCCCGGCATGGCACAGCCTGGCTCTAACGTTCTGGGTCTGGGGACCAGAGGGACCCCGCTCAGTAAGTCCTCTCAACCTGGGGCCACCGGCCAGCAGGGTCTTGCAGGCCCTTGGGCCCCAGAGACCCGCACCCGGTTGGCCACTGCGTAAGCGAAACCTATTGGTGGCCATGGCTCTCCCGTGCCTGCCCCGGGAGTCTGAGCCCTTGCCGCCGCCGGGCCACGTCGACCAAGTCTGGTGGGAAATCAAGCTCTTCAAGGAGGAGGGGTGGGGGAGGGGACACACTTGGCGCGGCGGTGCCGAGGGCCAAGCGGCAGAGAAGGTAGTTGGAGCCCTCTCCTCGCTCTCTTCGCCAGCGCTCCCCAACGCCACCGCCAGCACCGGGCAGCCGGAGAAGCACACCTACTTTTCCAGCTGGTAGGAAAGAACATCTCACAGCGAACTTTGGAGCCGTGTATTTCATTGGTTGGTGACTGGGCTACATGGGGTTTGGACTTTAACTCACACCAGGGAGGTTGAAAAGAAACTTTTGATGAGTATGTTGCCTAAAATCAGTCCCACCCCCCCAATCTTGCTGAGAGAGAGGCAAGAGCCTCGACTCCCATCTAAACCAGGGGGTTCAAATTCAGAGGCGTGTGTGTCCTGCTGAGTCCCTGCTGCCTGGCAGTGGGTAAGGCCTTTGGCCATGGCTGGGGCACCTGAAGTGAAAATCTGTGTTTTCCTTGGGGTTGGCAGTAAGGGAGTGGCAACAGCCCCACACATTTTAGAAGTATTTCGCAAACAGCTGCTCCAGTTTGGAGAGTGTGGAAGGCTCAGTTTTCCCTCCATCTCAAGCAGGAAA